AAAGAATTTAGAGTAAGGATGGTAAAGATGCTCAAGAGCATGAGATAAGATATAGTAACTATGAAAGCAAATAAAGAACAACATAGCACAAATAAAGAAGACATTGGAAGACACAGCTGATTAGGGGAAGCTGAGGATTGAATCAGTGAATTAGAAGATGAGGTTGAAAAATCACTTAATCAGAGAACCAAAAAGAAAAAAACAATTGAAAAACAGGAGGACAATTTAAGAGAGCTGTGGGACAAGATGAAATGTAACAATATTCGAATAGCAGGTATGCCAGAATAGGCAAAAAGGGAGAAGGGATAGAAAACTTCCCTAACCTGGTAAAGAAAAAGTCACACAAGTTCAGGAGGCACAGAGAACCCCAAGCAATGAGCCCGGGAGCCGCGCGCAGGGCTTGGGGCTCCACCCCCCGCAGGCGTCTCCGTGTTCCGCAGACCCCAAGGGTGGTGTTTTGCGTTTAACGAACCCGTTTTCGCCTGTGGGTGCAGATGATCCCTTTCCTTCTCCATTGAAAGCCTCTGGCTTCGTGCCCGTGATGGTGGCGCAAAGAAGCGCTCTTCGGTGCCGGGCTGGGATAGAGGGGCGCCCAGATTGGGGGTAGGGGAGCCTGGGGACGGTGGCAGGGAAGGCCACGAGAGCGCTTCAGAAAGGATGGCGCGTGTGCTGGGAGTGTCTGGAGCAAGGCAGTGTCTGGAGGAAGAAGAGTTGCTCGGCCCGCGTGGCTCAGTGGTTGGGCATCAACCTATGAACCAGGAGGTCAGGGCACGTGCCCGGGTTGTGGGCTCGATCCACAGTAGGGGGAGTGCAGGAGGCAGCCGATCCATGATTCTCTCTCTTCATTGATGTTTCTCTCTCTCTCCCTCTCCCTTCCTCTCTGACATCAATAACAATATATTTAAAATAAACTAAAATAGCTGCAGTCTTTTCCCTGGGTCTGTAAAGTCCCCGGGCTGCCAAGGCACCAGCTGGGAAGCAGAGGGGCCTTTGGGCAGGTGCTGGGAGGCAGGGGCGGGGCCCTGGCCGCAGAGAACAAGCCAGGGGCGCCTGGGGGCCGGTCAGAGCGAGGGCAGGTGGGGGAACCCTGAAGGGTCGGCAGGGTTAACAGGTGGAGGAGGAGCAGCTCCTGCGAGGATAGTGGGGGCCCAAGCCCTGAGGGAGGGGGTGCGCGGAGGAAGTGGGGGCGGGCGGAGGATGCAGAGAGAGGCCCTGAGCAGACAACACTTCATGGCTGAGCATCGATTGTCTCTTTCTCTTTTGTTTTTTGTTT